TACAAAAGGCTCTATATGTGTAAAGTTCTATTCCAGAAGTAGCATTCGTGTTCTCTGCATGATTGTTGGAGGGTGTATGTTGATCTACAAAATAAAAATATTTCGCGTTCCATTACATGGAGTACTTCCGTATCAATCAATTAGGACCATCTAGAAAATCGTGGCTGTAAAATTGGCACATGTACACATTAACCATCGAAAGCAAAAAATCTTTAGTGTTTCCATACATATTTGCACTGATTATGGCCATCCAATTTATGAAATCTCGCTATAAAATGGACCCCTCCCCCTCCTTCTCCTCACACCAACCAAATAAAAGCGATGGCTCGTCAGGGGAAGGCTAAGATCCAATGGATTGCCGACGCCGCGAAGCGCAAGGCGACAATGAGGAAACGTTTGCCCATGCTTGTGAAGAAGGCTCAAGAGCTTGCAATCCTTTGTGACATCCAAGGTTGCTCTTGTGGCACCTTCCAGGCCAGGCCCAGACGGATGTGCTCTGGCCATCGTTAAAGGAAGCCAAAGAGATCCTGCAGCGGTACAACCAGAGGTTGGAATCAAAAAAATGCAAGAGTAAGCAACAAGACGCAGGCTTAATCCAAGATATATATGTTCAACAAGGCAAACGGCAAGTTTTTAGAAGTCCAATGGCAGAACATCGACCTGAAGATCAAGGTCGTCCTCAGTGACCTCTTCGTTGGTGACTATCGTGGCTTCGAGGACATGCCCGATCACATGTCCCTCGTCCTCAAATGGAGGGTGGAGAAGCACCTCATGGACATTAACGCAAGCCTTGAGAAGCTCCGTACAGGGTCAGCACATGCATTGCCTCCAGCGCAACAACAAGACGGGACAGTGTTGCCACAGACTGAGGTAATATCAATGGTTAATCATATAACTATGTTGTGACCACCTCCTATGATGGCGCAAACTACATTTTTGCAGGAAGACATCTTTCCTATGGTGCGAGGTCTCGATGATGTCCGGATTGCTAGTCTTGTTGCCATGGATCCGTTGCCCCCTTCGATGGTGGATTTTTTGCCTTATGATGATGTTGATGCTCCCATGACCCTGGATCGAGATCCCCGCCATGGTACTCTGCCCTAACGCCTACAATAGCCACAACCTGCCTACTGGCAGGACCTATGTGACATCTTCATCAAGGCATGGATATTTTTCTCGTCGTCATTAAACCACCCTTCGACTATGTCAAGAAGTTCTCTCCTATACCTACTGCGTTGTCTACATGTAGAGATGTGGCGATCGGTAGATCTACCATTTTATTTAATTTATTTTGCTTGATTAAATATTGTCATTCTCGAAGCCTTAGGCCCATTTTCAGAGTGTCAATAGGTTACAGGAGCTAGCACCGAATTTTGAAATTTACATAGCGGATGTGTTTCCTTCCTTAAATATCATCCATTGTACTTGACAATGGATTTTACAATGTAATCTTTTCATGTCACAATTTAATGGAGAACTGGTACTAAGAAATTTGTTGGCACCAATCTTGATTAATTATCTCCTTTTTGTCTTGTTTGTTGCCTTTTTTTAGTGCGAGTTATATGACTAGCTCGTTTATTCCTTTTTTTCATTGTGGAATTAGACAGACATGGAAACTAGTTGTATACCAATATACACATATGATGGTACATGCACGATGGTCAACTACAAGTAAATGTTGTTGCATATGGTTCAACGGTTGCATATGTACATAATCCAAATGCATGCAAATTTAAGTCAGACATCTGATTAGTTGAATTGAGAATTTTAAAAAGGGGAGGAAATTGACTATCATAAAAATTAGTCATGAACAGGGATGTGTGGAAGTTAGCTATCCACGTGCCACAACCATGACTAGGTGTCAAGATCTTATGGGTATTAACTCTAGCTAGCATACCTTAACTTTCTTTGGGGCAGAATGGCTTTGACAACAAACCACTAAGAAGGTCTTTGAAAAAACACTCCGACAAGTCCAGTGTTGTAACCAAGAATTCAGAGCCCCGGAGAGATACAAATGGGCCTTGGGTTTTTTCTCGTATAACTAAAGCATATTTTCATGTAACCTCAATACACTGTATGGCGAAAGGAGGGGCCTATCAATCAGGCGATGACTTCAACTTCAAGAGTCGGGACAACCTCAATACCGACTTCGAGCAGACAATCAGACGATGAACTTGTCTTTACGGGAGTAAAGTTCAATAACCCTCCAAGCTCATGATGCCAAAAATACACTTGGAGGCACTTACATATTCGGTTTTCGTCGGCTCATGGAAACCGACCTAAAAGCACAACAACCAACAATGAACTGGGGCCATCGTTAACGTCAAAACAACAGATTCCTCTGTTGTCATTCTTGGTTGCTAATTATCCACTATCAAAAGAGCAAAAGCAAAATATGGTGTGCTTTGGATTTTCAATATCAACTCACAAATGAGATAGATTTTGCAAGAAAATTAATCGTATTTGTAAAATTATTAAGATTTTCTTAATTCCCAGCCTAATCAACCAAGAGAAAGGGGGGGGGGGGGCTCAATCCTTGAAAGAAAGAAAAATAGATTGCTTGTACATCCAAGGCCCCAATTACCAAATGGGTCGACAATGAGTCGAGTATAAAACTGATCGAGCATGTATTCATTCTATATTGAAAACTTGAAAAGTAAAAACATTGTTTTTAAGTTGGGTTATAAATAGTGATGCATGTAACCACACTGGCATACAAGTTTTTCGCAGCATGCATGCAATGGTGCATGTACTTCAATCCTGTTCAGACACTCTAAAAATAAGCACACATAACACGACTCAGTAAACAGTAACCTTGGTCGCTATCATCCTACTCGGATACTCCCTCCGTTCCAAAATACTTGTCTTTCTAGACATTTCAAATGGACACAATATATGAATGTATGTAGACATATTTTAGAATGTAGATTCGCTCATTTTGCTCCGTATGTAGTCACTTGTTGAAATCTCTAGAAAGACAAATATTTAGGAACGGAGGAAGTAGATGCGTATTTTAGGCACCTCGTTTTCGGGATCCTGCTGGAAAGCTCTTGTGGATTCGTGAGAGATCATGCTAATTAACTAACAATTTGTATTAGCATGACAAATTCATCGCGCTCCAAC